GTTTTGGAGGTGATACAGGAAGGTGCCCAACGTTAGCTTTGATTTTCTCCCTGAAGCATGAAGGTCAATAGCTGAGCTGAGCAAGGGGTGGGTAAAGAAGGTACAGGTAGTCTAATAAGCAAGGAAAAGGAAGGGTTCCTGCCAAGGAGTTTAGGGAGGTACTTAGGCCAGAAAAATGCACTAGATGCCTATGCATGGCTTGGAGTCATGAAATTATTAGGAGGAAGCAGTAAACTGAGGCCAGCAATTTTCTCCAGGCATATTCTGCCACATGGAGGGAAGAGATAGGGCTGGACCAGCATAACCAAAAAAAGTTCAGGGCCTTTGCCTGAGAGCCATGGAAGAGCCACAGTGTCAAGTCAGGGAACTCAGGCTCCTAGAAGTGAGGTCAGGGAGACATGATAAACAGAACAGGAATGGAATCCATGGACTGATAGGGATGGATGAGGTCAAAGAACTATGGCAGGTCGGGCACAGTGGCTCACGACTGTAATCCCAGCACTTTGGGAAGCCAAGGTAGGTGGATCATTTGAGGCCAGGAGTTTGAGACCAGTGTAGCCATCATAGCAAAACCCTGTCTCTACTAAAAATACAAAAATCAACCAGGTGTGGTGTTGCACGCCTATAGTCCCAGGTACTTGGGAGGGTGAGGCATGAGAATCGCTTGAACCCAGGAGGCGGAGGTTGCAGTGAGCCAACATCGCACTACTGCACTCCAGCCTGGGTAACAGAGCGAGACTGTGTCTCAAAAAAACAAAAAAAAAAAAAAGAAAAGAAAAAAGAAAAAAAAATTAGCCAGGTGTGATGGCACATGCCTATAGTCCCAGCTACTTGGGAGGTTGAGGCACGATAGTCTCTTGAACCCAGGAAGTGAGGCTGCAGTGAGCTGAGATCGTGCCACTGCACTCCAGCCTGGGCAACAGAGCAAGACTCTGTCTCAAAAAAAAAAAAAAAAAAAAAACTATGGCAAGAGAAGACAGTCAAGCAAGTGAGCTACAAAGACAATGATCAAGATGAAAGTTTGAAATGGAGATTTCTTAGGTTTCCAGACATGACAATGTCTAGGACATGATGCTAGGATAGGTCAGTCTTGGAAGAAGAGGTCTCCAGAGAAATCTGCAACATGCAACTGTCAGGTAGGATTCAAGAGAAATTCCCACCAATATTCTCCTACAACTGCTGGTAACAGAATGCTTATCTAGAAGACAGCAATTCAGACCCACTTCCCCTCTGGATGCAGCAAGTGGAGGGAGGGCGAGCCCTGACCCCAAGGATGAACCAGAGCAGGACAAATGATAAAATCCTATCTCTGGGCCATTGGAGGGCTGAAGTGACCAGGCTGCCGGAGGGAATTACACAACAAACTGCAGCAGCCCCTCCAGGGAGAACGGGACACACTTACTGTTTCACCTTTGGCAGAGGAAGGAAAGTGGAAGGAGGCCATAAAAGTGGTTAGAAAAAAACAGCTGCACTTTAAACAAATTCTGAAAGGTTGAGAGTGTCAAGTGTGGGAGTTTAACTCCTGGAAAGCCCCAAAAGAAACGTTCCCCCTCATTCCCAGGAGACCTGCGCCCAAGTCTCCAGGCTAATTCACTAGCTGAGAGGAAGGGAACATGCCTTTCTCCTTGTCCTGGAGAAAGGCATGTGCCACACACAGGCCAGGACGAGCACAAGACACGGGGCCGGTCAGACCCCTGCAGATACAAGGCAGAGTCTGGCTGCCACCGGGCAGAGGCAGGCTCGCTGGGAAAGCTGCCCCCAAGGCCGTGAGCACAGAGCTGCCCAAGAGTCAGGCTAGAGGAGGGCACTGAGAAGGTGCCACCATCGGAGAGCTTGCCAAGGAGGTAGTAGAGAGAAACTCCCCTCTACAGGCCCACACAAGCACACACAGTGCTAGAGACAGCCCAGCTGATGCCGACTGGACTGACCTGGCCTCCCAGGTGCACAACAGGAAACAACTTCAGCCTGATGCTCTCTGCACACTGTCTGGCATTTGACCAAACAGAACAAGAGAAAGAGAAAGCAAGAACCAAGAACGTTTAAGGAAGAGATAATACCAATTCTAACAAACTCTTCCAGAAAGGAGAAGAAACGGGAACACATTCCAACTCATTTTATGAGGCCCCAAAGACCACTATAAGATAAGAGGCCTACAGACAGATAGCCTTCATGAGCACAGATGCAAAAATCATTAACATAACTTTAGCAAATCAATCCAGCAACACATAAAAAGGATGTCCACAGAAAGAAAAATAATATTCATAGCAGCTTTTTTCAAAGTAGCCCAAATGTGGGAGCAAACAAACATCCATCAATTAATTGGTGAATGCATAAATTGGTTTATCTGTACAATTACTCAATGAAAAAGAGAAACTACGGATGCATGCAACATTTTGGATGACTCTCAAAAGCATCATGCAAGTTACAGAAGTGTATGTGACACTCTGGAAAAAGCAAAACTGTAGGAACAAAAATCAGGTCAGGCTGGATGCAGTGGCTCATGCCTATAATCACTATGGGAGGCAGAGGCAGGCAGATCACGAGGTCAAGAGATCGAGACCATACTGGCCAACATGGTGAAACCCCGTCTGTACCAAAAATACAAAAATTAGCTCAGGCGTAGGTGGTGGCGGCGCCTGTAGTCCCAGTTACCGGGAGGCTGAGGCAGAGAGAATTGCTTGAACCCAGGAGGCAAAGATTGTAGTGAGCCAGGATAGTGCAACTGCACTCCAGCCTGGGTGACAGAGCGGAGACTGTCTCAAAAAAAAAAAAAAAAAAATTCAGGTCGGTGGTTAACGAGAGGCTAGGGCGGGGAAAGGGAAGTGACTACCAAGAGGACAAGAGAACTTTTGATGGGTGATGCAAATGTTCTGTAGCTTAACTATAGTAGTGACATTTTTTAAGCAAAAAAAAGTGAATCTTTTTTTTTTTTTTTTGAGACGGAGTCTCGCTCTGTCGCCCAGGCTGGAGGTGCAGTGGCCGGATCTCAGCTCACTGCAAGCTTCCGCCTCCCGGGTTCCCGCCATTCTCCTGTCTCAGCCTCCCGAGTAGCTGGGACTACAGGCGCCGCACCTCGCCCGGCTAGCTTTTTGTTTTTTTAGTAGAGACGGGGTTTCACCCTGTTAGCGGGATGGTCTCGATCTCCTGACGTCGTGATCCGCCCGTCTCGGCCTCCCAAAGTGCTGGGATTACAGGCTTGAGCCACCGCGCCCGGCCTGAAAAAAAAGTGAATCTTAATGGAAGGTAAATTATATTATTTTTTTAAAGGCCAGCTCCAACAAAGAAGCCGACCTACAAAGCAACAGATGGTCTGAGTCCACAAACACAGGTCAGCACTACACCTCTGCTGTTCCCAAGGTCACTGTTTCTGGTGAGGACAGAAACGCTCATTTGACAAACTATCCATTACCAAGACAAGCCAGGGGCTGGGAAATGAGATCCTCCCCCAACCCAGGCAAGATGAACTGCAGGGAACCATAGGCATTTCCACTGGCCTCTGAACCAGGGCAAACAGCAGAAGCTTGTTCCCAAGGGCAGAGGCAGGCTAAAATACAAGAGCCTGGCTGGAATTGGAAGAAGAGCTGACAAAGTTTAAGGAGAAAACAAACAAACAAAAAAAACACCACAAAAAGCAAAGCAAATGGTATTGGTAAACAAACAAACGAAAACCACACAAAGAAAACCATAAAAATAGCTGCCTTTGTGGAGTTTATATTCTAATGAAGAAGAAAGCAAACCAAATGAGTAAGTAAAATACATAGTATGTTAGAAATAAGTGCTAGTGCCGGGCACGGTGCCTCACGCCTGTAATCCCAGCACTTTGGGAGGCCAAGGTGGGCGGATCACAAGGTCAGGAGATCGAGACCATCCTGGCTAACACAGTGAAACCCCATCTCTACTAAAAATACAAAAAAAAAAATTAGCCGGGCGTGGTGGCGGGCGCCTGTAGTCCCAGTTACTAGGGAGGCTGAGGCAGGACAATGGCGTGAACCTGGGAGGCGGAGCTTGCAGTGAGCCAAGATCGCGCCACTGCACTCCAGCCTGGGTGCCACAGCGAGACTCCGTCTCAAAAAAAAAAAAAAAAGAAAGAAAGAAGTGCTAGGAAGAGAAGTACAGCAGGAAAGGGGGACGTGTGGGAGGGACCAAGTGAGAAAGTAATTCAGACAATGAGACCCCAAGGATAGAAACTGGCCCTGGAGATGGAGCACGCCTCTAAGGCCAGAAAAGATGGAAACCCACACCAGGCAGTGGGGACATGTTCTTCAGACTGTCACCAGGACTTCCCCAAGGCAGTTCTGCAGGAGAAAACAGAGGAGCAGGGAATGCACATGCTTCCTGGCTGCACATAGCAAGGTATCAGAAGGAAAAGAAGAGCTCAGACAATAATTAGCCACTTGCAAGCAGAAATCAAAGGGCACAGAAGAGCCCTAGAATGTGGGACCTCACACAGTTGCAAAAGCCAACTCCTTCCAGATCCCAAACAGCACATGTGAAAGCCTGCCCGCAACAAGGGCCCACCAAAACTCCATCCGGTCAAAGATGAGAGTAAGGGTGTGGCCTTCCCAGCCAAGCCTGCTGGCCTTGCTGTGGCCTCCAAGAGGCTGAAGGGGCACAAACAAGTAAAGGGGAAGGCCAGGCTTAAGAGCTGCCTCGGATAAAGAATTAACCTGCATGTCGAATTGCCGAGAACTAAACACATGAAAACTGTACTCCCTTTTCAAGAAACTGCACCACCAAAGAAATACTAAGCTCAAAGCCAAAAATCACCCTTCAGGGCCACAAAGCTTGACGACTGAATTATGCCCAGACAAGGAAGGCAGGTGTTCTGCCACCTACTGCGGTGTCGGCAGGGAAGACCAGGAGGAACAGACTAGAAGGTGGTGCAGGACGGAGTGCCCTCTGAAGCAAAAGCAAATCCATTTCTTTCACTGCCAGCTGGCCCCATAACCTGGGGTCGGGGGAGCCAACACCCTGCGCTGCCTGTGCTGGCAGCCACTCACCACTGGCTGGTCAAGGCCGCCATGCCTCTCCTCCTTCTCCACGGTCCTGCGGCAGTCCGGGCACACCCATAGCGGCAGGTGCAGCACACTGTTGCCCTTGGGAGCCATGGAAAGGGCCAATTTGCTCGCAGTCTTAATTCCACTCTCTAAGAATGAGGAGTCTTTCCGTTCACTTCTGCACAGAAGACAATAATCCCCAGCGGGGTAGGGTGGTGTCCTATGATTCATGCCAAAACTAAAAGGAGTCTGGAATAGAAAAAAAAAAAATTCTATTTTCAAAACCTCATCTATAAAGCCAATATTAAAATACATGTATAGTTGTAAAACTAAAACTAAAATGCATATGTATGCTTATATACAGAAACATAAAATAGGACATTTATTGAATAAAACTAAACCTAATGTTCTAGAAATTCATAATACTTCAAATAAAATAACAGTGCCATAAAGAAAATCTTAGATAGTACGAGTTAGAAAATTGTCCAATTAACCCCTTCACCTTGACTTCTGTATTACTTTTCCACCACATGCTAGAAATTATCAGCCTCGATTTTCAGACTGTTTACCAGAACTGGTTACCACCAACAAAGTCTGAAACCACTATTCTAGAGGCGTCTGTATACCAGGGCTCAGGCCCAAGATGGCAATTCTGGCTTAAGTGTGTCTGCAGATCTAAACCATCTCTGAGGTGGGCTGTCCAAATTCCAGATTCAAGATAAACAGGGAAATGATGGCAGCTGCACATCCAAGGCCCAGCCTCCCATCCAGGCCCAGCAATAATGATGCTGAGCTCATCTCCTATCACCTGATGTAAATAAACATCTGCATTTTCAAATAGGTCCTACAATGTGGGGCAAGGGGAAGAGGCCTTAGAGGTAGAAGAAAAAGGCAAGATTATTATACCTTAAAACCTCTCAAAAGATAACCACCCACTCTATCAAAAAATAAAATAAAATTAGCGTTTAAAACACAAATACAGAAAAAGAAACTGAAGGCTGGGCACAGCAGCTTACGCCTGTGATCCCAGCACTTGGGGAGGCAGAAGTGAGATATCATTTGAGCTCAGGAGTTTGAGACCAGCCTTGGTAACACAGCAAGACTTCGCCTCTACAAAATATCCAACTATTAGCCAGGCGTAGTGGTGCACACCTGTAGTTCCAGCTACTGGGGAGGCTGAGGTGAGAGGATTGCTAAAACCCAGCAAGTTGAAGCTGTAGTGAGCTGTGATCATGCCACTGCACTCTAGCCTGGGTGAGAGGGCAAGACCCTGTGTCAAAAGAAAGAAAGGAAAGGAAAGAAAGGAAGGAAAGAAAAAGGAAAGGAAAGGAAGAAAAGAAAGAAGAGAGAAGAAAAAAGAAAAGAGAGAAAGAAAGAAAAAAAGAAAGGAAAAAAGGAAAGAAAGGAAAGAAAGGAAGAAAGAAAGAAAGAAAAAGAAAGAAAGAAAGAAAGAATCGGTCCATCTAGCCTGGCCAACATGGTGAAACCCTGTCTCTATTAAAAACACAAAATTAGCCGGGCGTGGTGGTGTGCACCTGTAATCCCAGCTACTCAGGAGGCTGACACAGGAGAATCGTTTGAACCAGGAAGGTGGAGGCTGCAATGAGCCGAGATCACGCCACTGCATTCCAAACTGGGCGACAGAGCAAGACTCAGTTTCAAAAAAAAAAAGACAATAAAAAAAAGAAAAAGAAAGAAACTGAGTCTCACACGCCTGGAAATGGGGGTAAAGTCCCAAGGTCAGCAAGTGTGGGGCTGGGGGGGGAGACGCAAGATTTTAACCCCTATCAACCCAATCCTAAGACGGGTCCTTCACACAGGGCTACCTCTGCACCTTAGGAGGAAGCCCTCTTGAACTCTGAGGAGAGGCTGGAGAGACGCACTCCCAGGGAGCAGGGCAAAGGGAAGCCTCGCCTGGCACTCCAGAGGCAGCCAGAACCAGGGCACACAGTGAGGTGGAGGGGTGAGAGAACCCCCGCTGGTCTCTCCTGCCATGTGGGGTGCCCTTGCTGCAGGACATGCCAGGTGAGAAGAGAGCAGACCTGGCTGAGGCTGTTCTGGCTTTTCAGTCTCCATCTCCACCCAAAAGCTTCTCCAAGGCCGGCCAGCCCCACAGCTCTTCCCACAGCCTCGAGCTGTCTCCCTATCCCGCCACCCAGTGGTATTCAAAAGGACCCAGTGTGCATGACAGATTGGCCCCTCAACGGCCACTGAGGGCTCTCATTTGGACACCAGGCTCCATTCTTAAGACTTCCTGCTGACTGGCAGGAAGCACATATTTAAACAAGGGGCTGAATATATAAGTAAATGAATTAGTGATTGAAAGAATGAATGACAACACCAGCAAGACTCAAAAGATGTTCATATATATTCTCACGTTTCCATGACCCAGTGATCAAAACTGCTGACTCCTGTTACATCCACAGGGTTCAGAGTTTTCCCGAACCCAGCTCAGCAGCCATCCTGAGCTGAATGTTCAGGGCACAGGGGCAGAGAACTGGGTCCTACCTCCCCACAGTGTCCTAGGGAGCGCCAGACTACTCAAACCACTGAGTACCATGAGAATCCATGTATTTTTCCATACCATCAAATCCCAAAAACCTAAATGATGACCCCCCCCCAAAAAAAAAAAGCACATTGATTTACCCCCATATAAAGCCATCTCTTTCCCTCAGGTCTTAGAAAACAGCTCCCATTGCTGGCAGAACAGCCACACCCATCAGAGCTTTCTGGCCTGCCCTTTTAATCACAGAATGAGATGCTGGGCTGTACAGACCCAAAGGTCCCCAAGCCTGAAATCATAATGTAAGAGCCAGAAATGGCCAGAGAGACTAGAGGGCACACAGCTCAGCTCCCGGACATTCAGCAGTCATCCAGGATTTACTGAGCCCACCACATGCTCAGGGACTGGTCCAGGCACTGGGAGCACAATGATGAAGAAAACTGTCAAAGACAAAGGCAATAAATAAGACAAATACATGAAAAATATTAACTAATTAAACATTGATAAGGAGAAAAACGTTAACAGCAAAGAGGATCTGTGCCCTTTAATCTGGTGGCCAGTGAGGGTCTCCTTGAAGAGACCCCTGAAACCCACATGGCTGTACCTTGTGGGGAGCCCAGTGGCTGGTATTGGGCTGGCAAGAGCAGAAGGGGAGATGGAGGAGAGCTGAGGGCCACTCAAGTCAAGGCGTGACTCTGAGGCTGCGTGCAGAGAGACGGGATGGGAGAATGGGAAGAAACGACTATCTGCAACTTAGGAGCCAGACGGCAACAGCTTGGACCAGGGCTGCGGGAAGGGAAGTGGACAAGGCTGTGAACGAGCCACCTGTGAGGTGTGAGAGGAGGAGAAGAGCCAGGGGCAAGCATGAAGCGTCAGGTGCTGGGTATTTTTTCATTCCTTCAGTTTCTGAGCTTAGTCGTGGGCCATAGTAGGGTTGTTTGGGAAGAGTCTGGTCCTTTTAGGGCTTATAGGCTCTGTAAGGCAGCATAGGAGCGCCTTTCCTCTTCTCCACAACTGAGGCAATATCCCCCTGAGCTGCCACCCAGGGTCCTACAGGTTGTAAGATTTTCCCACAATGGCTAGTGGGAACACACACTGCTCCTGGCCCTGTGTGAGCTCCTAGGTTTGTCCCACTCCTCACTTCCAGGATGCTAGCCCAGGCGCAGAGAGCTTCCCCACATGCACATGCTTACGCGTCCTCAACTGGGCTTGAGGAGAACCCTATGTAGAGCTCTTCCTTCACCTCTTTGCAGTTCTCTCCGCTCTGGTACTCTGCTCTGCAAATTTACTTTGGCCTCCCCAAAGTCTCAACTCAGCCTTCCCAATCAAGGAGATCCTCAGGCTCGGTCTGGGCAGCTCTCCAAGTCCTAACCTTCAGACTCTCTCCAGGCAGGAAGCCTGGGCAACGCTGGGGCTTGCTGCGGTTATTCTCCTTCTCCCAGGGATCACTGTCCTGCCTGCCTGTGGTCCAATGTTGGAAAACTACTATTTGGTACATTTTGTGTTTTGTTTCATTTTTTGAGGGAGGAAGATAAATCCACTTTTAGTTACTACCTCTTGCTTGGAAGCAGAAGTCTAGTTACATTCATATTTTTAAAAATAAATGTACCAGGCTGGGCGTGGTGGCTCATGCCTGTAATCCCAGCACTTTGCGAGGCCGAGGCAGGCAGATCAAGAGGTCAGGAGTTCAAGACTAGCCTGGCCAAATCGGTGAAACCCCGTCTCTACTAAAAATACAAAAAATCAGCCAGGTGTGGTGGTGCACACCTGTAATCTCAACTACTCAAATTGAGGCAGGAGAATCACTTGAACCCATGAGGCGGAGGATGCGGTGAGCGGAGATCGCACCATTGCATTTCAGCCTGGGCAACAGAGCAACACTCCGTCTCAAAAAACAAAACAAAAAAAACATACACACATACACACACACACACACACACACACACACACACACCCCCAGAATGAACGTTATACTAGTTTCATCCCCCAAAGCCTACACACACATAGATGAAATATGTAAATACATAAAATGTGTATATATATCCATGTAAGGGACCAAGATAACTCAGAAATTTTTGCATAGGAGAATATGGACATATGGCTAAGATGGCAGTATTGCTGAAAACACTTTGGGAACACTACTAACAGCTGAGTTCTACATCTATGATGTATTTTACCTTTTCTGAATAAACTGATTTTCTACCACCCAGTGATTGTGGCCTGTGTGCATGGGGGTGGGAGGTGTGTGTGTGTATCATAAAAGACACTAAATCATAATAGCATTTGTTTTCTTGCTAGGCTTATATTCTAGTTTTGAACTTTGTTTCCAAAATGAAATTCCAAATTAAACATGAAAACTCAGACTTACTAAAAATACTTTACAGATAAACTTCTTATAAACATGAAGAAAAAAGGGCATTTTAGGGCTAAAAAAACAGTAAAAGCAATATCCTCTCCGGTAACGGTAGCACAACCCAGATTAGACCACCCCAAGAAGGCTAAAGCAGGAGGCACACAAAACAAAGGCCCCGTGCTGGTGACACTGCCACCTCCTGTCGACTGGCCTTCAGGGCTGTCTGCTCCCCACATGTCCTCCGTCTCCTGTCAAAACCCCCTCACACTGTACCTATGACCAGAACATTCTCTGCCTTAAACCCTTCTATTGTTCCTGCTGCCTAAAAAGATCAAGTCCTCAGCAAAGGATCAAGCAGGATACACCAGGCCCTTGGTCAGTGTGTTCTTGCAA